TCTTGAAGTTTTATAAATCAAGACAGTGATTTTTGTGCCAGTGTATGAAAACTAGAAGGTGAACTGAATAGAAAATGACACAAATCTAGTTTCACTGTCAAGGTCACTGACAGAGCAAAAGCAAACAAAAATATTATCACTGTTGGGGTATTAGTGAAAGGTAAGTCACATAATACTAACATTTCACATTTATTTTAAAGATAAGTAATACTACAACATTAGGGTATATGTGTGTATATATATATAGATTTTTACATTGTTGGTGATTTCTAAGAACATGAGAATGCTAAAGCTAATATTTCCATGTAGGAAGCCTAATTTATCCCAAAGGGATAAAGTATTCGAATAAAAATTTTAAAACTTGAAATTTAAGGAATAAACCAGGTTCTGTGGTGCATGCCTGTAATCCCAACGGCTTGGGTAGCTAAGGCAGGCGGATTGTGAATTCAAAGCCAGCCTCAGCAAAAGCATGGCGCTAAGCAACTCAGTGAGACCCTGTCTCTAAATAAAATACAAAATAGGGCTGGGGATGTGGCTCAGTGGTGGAGTGCCCCTGAGTTCAACCCCCAGTACCCCCCCCAAAAAAAAATTTTTAAGGAATAATTAGCAAATTCTAATACATGAGTCTATCAAGGTCAATTACTTATTTGCATTCTGTGTGGGGGGGTCTCTTCATGGTCATGAATAAAATATCTAAGTCCAAGGCTAAGTTTGAATTTCATTCATAACATAAAGCAGATTCAGTATATCTTTTTTCTTGGGACTTAGAGTCGAGAGACAAGATTGCAAAACCATTTTAGCAAGGAATTTACCTGTGTGAATGAATAATACCTCAGTTTTAAGATAGTTTCATTTTGTATTTATTTCAAAATATTGCATTAATGTAAATGGCAAAAAGCCAAATAAATTACCTAAATGACTGTCTATGGGGCAGACTCTTCTGCAACCCATTCTACAATGAAAAACAGTTCAGAGACATAAGTATTTTACAGATTTGAGTAAAAAATATAGATTAACTTTTATACGCTTAAACTAAAATTACACTTAATAATCTCTACTTGTTCACTATAAAACAGTTTTCAACAAACTAATGTTAGCATCAAAGAGTTGCTTTTAGTTTTATTAGTTTGTTTTTACCCAGAATTAAGCACAGAGCGGGTAGTGAAATAAAATGCAAATTCCTACCTTTAGGGTTCTACAATGAAAAATTTCAGCTGGGAAGATGAATTTCCTTTTACAGTGACTCCTCATTATCCGCAATGAGAAATAAAGATGGCCTGGATACAGAATCCACTAAGGGTTCCAAAAACTTATTTTGGACAACCATTTCATATTCTAACATCATCAAATGATCTAACAGAGAAGCACAAAAGGAGAAAAGAGGCTGTTCTGAGTCTTTCCTACTACACTGCACATGCTCATTACCAAATAGAGGTGTTAATGAGCATGAAAGTATCTAGAACACACTCCAAAGAAAAAATAAATAGCAAGTAAATCCAACTTAATTTAAGCTGTGTTTTCAGGGCATGACAAGGCCAAGCTAAACCGCCATTCCCCACGTCCCACAGAACTTCCACAGCCAATCCTGCATCATCCTGCTCTCACCCGGAGTGTTTTCTTGGGAGTAACACCAAGCCACTTTCCAGCAAAGTCTTTAGGGGTCAGTTAGGGATATGCTGTCATTCGACCACACTGGCGGCCTCTCTCTTTAGAAATAATGACAGGCATATGTTTTTAAAATCAGCTCTCTCCATTTTCTAAGACACGGATTGGAATGCTGCCTTTAGCATTTTAGCTGTTATTAAACCAAAAGAATTTTAGTTTCTATTGAAATAATATTATAGTTTCTATTTAACACTTTCATTGAATAGTTTTCATTTTTTAAATCAATAATGTTTGTCCAGCTACTTATATCTTAAGTAGGAATGAATGTAAATATTAAATTTATACTAAAACCATGGGAAGGTTTCAACTACAAAGGTAAGTTCTTCTATGGTTGTATTGGAAATTCCATCGTATCAAGACTAAGCAGTATATTGCCTGAGACATGGAAATGGATATTTTTATTTATATATTTATATAAATAATTTTTTCTACTACATATTCACTACAGAAAGCTTGAAAAAGTGAAAAAAAAAATTCCCCCATCACATCAACCAAACACATAAATTACAGTAACTTTCCAGGTACATTTTTTTTCTTTGATGTAAATACATAGCTATATTTTAAAAACACATGTTAGTTTTATCTATAACAACACCTTTGCTGCAATTTAAAAATATTGTGTCAGGAGCAATTTTCTTATGTTTGTAAATCCTTGAAAGCCTGAATTTTTAATGGCTGTATAATATTTCAACTAACATACATACCATAATCGGTTTAATTATTCTCCTACTATAATTGCTTCCAATATTTTGCAATGTGTCCAGCAAATTTGTACATAATTGTTACCAAAAGTTCTTATTACTACCTTGGAATTACTAAAAGAAGAATTTCCAGGTAAAAAGAATACATTTTTTAAAAAGTGACTATTTGCTAGAAATAGCAATATATACTTCTACAAGCAGTGTATATGAATGCTTGTTTCATCATATCCTTCCCACCTACACACATTTTTATTACAACTTTATTCAACTGTTATGTTGAAATAATAACACCTTGTTTGATATAAAAGATAAATTTCTATTCTTTTCATGATAAATGGCATGTAAAGGCTCCTTATATATATTTTATGTAAATGTTTTATAGAAACTAACATATAAATGTGTACAAATCAACAAAAAATCTTAATAGTAAAATATGTAGTTATCAAAACATACATATAAACTTGTGGCAAAAAAGTTTTTCCAATTCATCATCTGGTTTAAAATTTATGTGTTAACAAATGACCTGTACATGTTTTGGGCTGTAGTTCCAGCCAGTTTTATCTTTGTGGGAGTGATTCTTCACACTTAGTGTCTTTCTGGAATTCCTGAAATTTCCATTCACTAATAGGATCCTTTCTTATTTTTCTAGTCATTATCATTCAGACAGACAAATATGCATTCACATGGGTATAGATACACATGTACACCTTTTCTGTTATTTCAGAGAATTGGAGTTGTGGATACATTGGCAGTAGTGGTAGGGCAGTTAAAGAATATCATAAGTTCAACCTACCATCTGATTACTTTCTCAATTTTATTATTTGTTAAACAGTATGCACTCCAATTTCATAGGGCTCTTTCTTGTAATCTCAGGCTTGTAGATGCAACTACAAGTTTAACATCTTTACTTAGATTTCTTATAAGTATCTAAAACCAACATGTTCAAAACTGAATTACCCAAAATCTACATTACTAAGGCATCAAACACATACCAGAACCCATGGAGCAAATTCTTGACAATTTCTTTTCTCTTACTTATCATGAAGTAGTCCCTACAAAATAGACTTAATTTCTTTTCATCTTTACAGCCATTAACTTTGTCCAAGCACCATCATCTCTTACCTGGGCTACTTTAACAGCCACTTAATTGGCTTTATTGCTTTTCCTCTTCCCCTCTAATTCATTTTCACCAGAATACCAAAGTCAACGTTTATAAATACAAAAAAGATCCGAGTCAATCCCTTGCTAAAACTCTTCTATGTCTTATTGCTATTGCAATAATTTCACTCTTTCCATTAAACTCAATCTCTTGTTAGGTCTCTGATATTTACTTAAAGACCTCATTGATACTAGTGACTTATTAGCCTGCGTGGGTTCTAGAAATTTGAAACCTTGGCTCTTTTTCTTATCCTACCTACCTTGCTAAGATAACCCATAATTTCATCTAATAAAACTACAATTCCCCTCACAAAAACTGTCTATATCACAAATCTGTTTTAGTTATAATCTTTTAGAAACCAGGTTTTTGTATCTACTTGTAGCTAAATCCCTTTAGTAACTATTTTTTCCCAAATGAACAAGGCCAGTTAAAGCTCTGAATGCCTCTTAGTCCAACTTCCTATAAAATGAAAATACTCATATAGTTTCAATATATGGCAAGTTCGTACAAACTTTGTCACCATATAATCCTGAGTAAAAATTCTTACTCTAAGGCACAGCAATTATTTCTGTCAAGTGAGGAAGTAAGGTTGTATGATTTATAAGGTCTCTTCTATTTCTAGTAATCACAGATTTCATGAGTGAATGTACAATACAATAATTATCACTTAAAGTCCATGAAGATTGTAATCATATTGTATTATAATCACAATTGTAATAGAAGGTAATATTCTATTTTAGATTTAAGAAGATTTTATCAAAGAGAAAAACAATTTGACCCAAGCTTTTTGGAGACAAATTTAAGCCCCATAAGCTATCCTGCTACCACCATGAATTCACACTATTAAAGATTCAGTGCTGATTCCAATTGCTCAATGAACACATAGAACCTTAAGAATTGAAAATACAGTAACAACAAAACAACAACAACTACTACTAGTACTGTTGCTGCTGCTACTACTGGTACTATACAGTAACAACAATTGGTAAGTTTTAGACTATTCTGGGTAATAATCAAAACCCAATTACAACAATCAAACAAATGGAAAATAGGAGGAAAATAAGGAACAGTAGGGACCAAAAGCTTCTTCCTAAAAGATCAATAAAGATCAATGGTTCATATTGGTTTACACAAAGAACCAAAATGTGCCCCCCCCCCATTCCACACTCTTTCCATTTTTATAATAATATTAAAAGGAAAGGCTCTCCAAATTGTTACTAGTTTGATCTAAAGTTTTACTAGTTTTTACATTTGACTAGAGACCATTCTAAGACTTGATCAAGATCACAAACACAAGAAAAAGCAAGATTTCTCTCCTTTCCCAGTAACTTATAACTCCTAACTACCTCCTCACAAACTGTATGACCTTTAAAAATGGAAATCTATTCCCACTAACACTTAATTACTATGCCAGATTTGAGCACTGCTCTTTGTATTGATGGATTTCATAAATTAAATGATCCACATTGCTTTACCTGATACATTCCAACTCCAATGTGCTTCGGCTCAATTTTCACTAGCTCAGCTAATGGATCTTGTACACGCCTTGCTATGGAAACTGAAAAAACAGAATCAGAAAACAAGTATGACTTAATGTGAAAAGCAGTACTCAGATAATTACTTATGTTAGTTCCTCATAATTTAAGTACTTAATCCTATCCCTACTCATACTGCCCTCCAAGGACAAACAATTTAAATTTCAAAGTTCTCTTTGTTTCCCATGCAAAATTTCAGAATTAATCATGCCATCCTAGGCATTCTTGAGCATAAATAGACTAAAAAGAATTACAGACTTGAAAAAAACAATCATAACACTTAGTTCATATACCTATACAATTATCTGTTCATTCTTAAAGAATAGGATATTTCATGCTTTAAAAAGTGAGTAGATATTTGTTTTATTTTTAAATAATTACAATTATAAATATGATGTAGGGCAAGCCCAAGATGGCTATAGTTAGGATCCTTTGTCAAGGCTTCTGGCAGATTATGTTTTTAGTATGAAGCCAAGATCATGACTACCCTGATTCTGCATATATATCAAGGTTATAAACATTTGCTTGTGAGCATATGCCCACTTATGTAACCTGAAGGCAATGGGCTTCTTTGTTTGGACTGCATATAAAAAAGGCCTATGGAAATGGCTCAGGGATCTAAATGGAACTGGCTGGGAAAAAATGGGGAAAAAATGAGGTTGGAGGCTGGGGGACTGCTGCTGCCTCTGACAACAGAATGTCTACTATCCCAACTGTGTTGTACATCTTCTTCCACCTGCCAGGATCCCAAATCTGTTTCCGAGAGTCTGAGCCTCCCCCACAACATATGACTTGTAGTTATATGTCAAACATGCTATCAGGACTACATCCTGTGATAATAATGAATAAATAATGAATCATATCTTAATGCAAGCAGAGATACTGAGTCTACTAGCTAGTGAATACACTTGTATGCCACTGAATATGACTGCAGGAGTGCATTGGGAGGCGCTCTAGCCTAACTGCTTGTCTTGTAACACATACACAGTTCTAATCACATCCCTTTCTTGACCATCACAATCCATATTCAAGAAACGTGAAAATTAACTTCAAATATACTTTTATCTACATCATGATTTTTCACCTAATCATCATTTACTGCCATCATTTTAACCAAACAATAAAACTTCTATATAATTGAACTTACAGATTTAGGTAGATAAAACATATTTATTATGACTTTTATGGATATTTCTAAAGGCACCCACCCCAACCCCAACCCAAGTAGCACAGTAAAACTGAATCCTTACGTATGAATAGCTTCATACATATATACACACTATTATATACAATACACTTATATTATATTATCAAGTACTGTTGTGTACATACATAGTTACATTGAGTACTTTATGTACACTTTATTTAAATAAAGCTATCTTGTGTTATTTATTAAATACATGAAAGCCAATCAGTGTTACCTACTCATATTGACTGGATGCAATGTAAATTCATTAAGTGAAAACACTGTAACTCTACCAAAGGAAATCCATGCTTGCTTTCATATTAAACTGTTTAAGGTCTAGCAACAAAAGTCACCTCTTATAAGAGATCTTCAGATTCTCTAGTCCTTTATCCTCAGAAAATAAGATCTACTGTGAACATCAAGTTCACTATATGGACACTGTCATTTTTATGTCCTCTCTTAATATATGTAACACACGATGACAAAGGCAATTTGCAAAGTAAGTTTAGATATTAGAAACCTGGTGACATACAATCTGCCTATTTCTCTTACAGAAGAGAGGGATTTCAGGGCCTTCACATATACCTTTCAATCAAAACTCACAAAAGCAGAGCTGAGGGTTTACTCAGTGGTAAAGCACAAGCAAGTTCCTAAGTTCAATCCCCAGCACCATCAAAAGAAAAAAAAAAAATCACAAAAGGTTAATCAGTGTGTGTGTGTGGGGGGGGGGGCTGGGGTGGTGGCTCAGAGGTAGATCACTTGCCTAGCAGCCTAGCACATGTGATTCCCTGGGTTTGATCCTCAGCACCACATAAAAATAAATAAATAAATAAAACAAAAGTATTGTGTCCAACTCCAACTAAAAAATAAATATTAAAAAAAATTAATTAGGTATTTCAAAATGGATCAAGGAGCTTGATATCAAATCAGAGACACGCCGTCTGATAGAAGAAAAAGTTGGCTACGATCTACATACTGTGGGGTCGGGCTCCAAATTCCTCAATAGGACACCCATAGCACAAAAGTTAATAACTAGAATCAACAAATGGGACTTACTCAAACTAAAAAGTTTTTTCTCAGCAAAAGAAACAATAAGAGAGGTAAATAGAGAGCCTACATCCTGGGAACAAATCATTACTCCTCACACTTCAGATAGAGCCCGAATATCTAGAGTATACAAAGAACTCAAAAAATTAGACAATAAGAGAACAAACAACCCAATCAACAAATGGGCCAAGGACCTGAACAGACACTTCTCAGAGGAGGACATACAATCAATCAACAAGTACATGAAAAAATGCTCACCATCTCTAGCAGTCAGAGAAATGCAAATCAAAACCACCCTAAGATACCATCTCACTCCAGTTAGATTGGCAGCCATTATGAAGTCAAACAACAACAAGTGCTGACGAGGATGTGGGGAAAAGGGTACACTTGTACATTGCTGGTGGGACTGCAAATTGGTGCAGCCAATTTGGAAAGCAGTATGGAGATTTCTTGGAAAGCTGGGAATGGAGCCACCATTTGACCCAGCTATTCCCCTTCTCGGTCTATTCCCTAAAGACCTAAAAAGAGCATGCTACAGGGACACTGCTACATCGATGTTCATAGCAGCACAATTCACAATAGCAAGACTGTGGAACCAACCTAGATGCCCTTCAATAGATGAATGGATAAAAAAAAATGTGGCATTTATACACAATGGAGTATTACTCTGCATTAAAAAATGACAAAATCATAGAATTTACAGGGAAATGGATGGCATTAGAGCAGATTATGCTAAGTGAAGCTAGCCAATCCCTAAAAAACAAATGCCAAATGTCTTCTTTGATATAAGGAGAGTAACTAAGAACAGAGTAGGGCCGAAGAGCATGAGAAGAAGATTAAAATTAAACAGGGATGAGAGGTGGGAGGGAAAGGGAGAGAGAAGGGAAATTGCATGGAAATGGAAGGAGACCCTCAGAGTTATACAAAAGTACATACAAGAGGAAGTGAGGGGAAAGGGAAAAATAATACAAGGGGGACAAATGAATGTCAGTAGAGGGGGCAGAGAGAGAAGACGGGAGGGGAGGGGAGGGGAGGGGGGATAGTAGAGGATAGGAAAGGCAGCAGAACACAACAGACACTAGTATGGCAATATGTAAATCAATGGATGTGTATCTGATGTGATTCTGCAATCTGTATATGGGGTAAAAATGGGAGCTCATAACCCACTTGAATCAAAGGATGAAATATGATATATCAAGAACTATGTAATGTTTTGAACAGCCAACAATAAAAAATTTAAAAGAAAATAAAGAAGGAGTTATATAAAGAAAAAAAAATTAATTAGGTATAAACACTGCAGGCTATATAAAAGAAATGCTTTCCTCTAATAATGCTACAATTACAAAATGAAAATACAGTGCTACTAGTGATATACTTGAATTTCTATAAACCAAACATTTATTTATCCTAGCTTTAAATCTATAATGCAGTAAGAATGATTTTCAGGGCTGGGGATGTGGCTCAAGAGGGTAGCGCGCTCGCCTGGCATGCGTGTGGCCCGGGTTCGATCCTCAGCACCACATACAAACAAAGATGTTGTGTCTGCCGAAAACTAAAAAATACATATTAAAAAAAAATTCTCATTCTCTCTCTCTCTCTCTCTCTCAAAAAAAAGAATGACTTTCAAAAACATACATATATTGCCAAAATACTTTAAGAATAAAAAAAAAAAAACCCAAAGAATAAACCAAGTTAAAATATAGGCATCAGAATATTTAAGTGTAGAAAAGAAAGTACTACAAATGCAATAAAAGAAGATCAATAATGGGTAAATCTCTTAAATCTACCCCTACCAGAAAACCCACATTATGAAACTCTAAACAGAAACTGGTTAAAGCAATTGCATAATTTGTTAAGTGTGGGTACAGTCTCATAGTTAAAATTTTTTGGAAATATACAAAAGGGTTTTAAGCTATTTTCTATTCCGTTTGCATCTAATTGCTGTGTTCCCTTTTGCATTCTAATATTACTAAATGCAGCAGAGCAAAGGAATGGAAATTGGGGCTTCTAGGTGACATATTAATGCTACAGTAAGTCCAGAGCCTCTGGAGTTACAGTGCTTCCAATAAACAGCCTTGACAGACAACCTAATGTTTCTCCAGCTGGTATGTCCCTCTCAGATGCTATTCACTCTGTACAGTCTAAAAACTTAAGTATGGAAGAAAAGGAAGGAGGGGTAGAGAGGATGAAAGATGAACACCAGTCAAGACAGATTCAAACAGTCACATGTTCAGGCTTCGGAGAGAAATTGACAAGATCACCAAGCAAGAGTTACTTAGTACACATGATAAAGCAGAGCTCCAGTGGATAATAATCAGGCTTGGCAAAAGATTTCCACAAGGAAAAAGTAAGAGATAACTCAGGAAAAGAGAATATATAAGCTAGCTTACCAAAAGAATTTTTTAAAAAAGGAAGTTGTAGACCCAATCTTAGGGAACATCTATATTTTGAGATGGAGAGGAAAAGGTAGAAATAGTGGAAAAAGCAACAAATGAATCATACGGAGACTACAGTAACTAATGTAAGTCAATATGATTTCTGGGAAATGTTAAACATACAGTTACCACATGCCCTCAAATTTTTATTCCTAGGTAGATACTCAAAAGAAATGGAAACATGTCCACATAAGACCTTATCAATGAATGTTCACAGAAGCATTATCTATAATAACCAAAAAAAAAAAAAAAAAAGTAAAAACAACATAAATACCCATCAATTGATGAATGGATAAACAAAATGTGGTCTACCCATTCAAAAGAGTATCATTTGGTAACACGACAGAGTGAAATG